GGCTGCCAGCGCCCACGGCCAGCTCGTGGCCAGCTCATGGCTCCGTTTTCATTGTGTACACGTGCTGTTTGCTGGGAAAACTGGTTTCGCTGAAAATGGGAAGAAAAATGTGCTCTCACCGGCCGCAGACGTGTGATGTAGCACCGGTCTCACCGCACAAGGGTGATGGAGGGTACGGCCTCCCATTCAACTGGTCTGTATGTCCCATCCCGGCTTGGAGGTTGTGGCCAAAAGCACGTTCCTTGGCAGCTGCAGCGAGAAAACGGCCCAAACCGGCAAGTTTTGGGTCAGCACTGAACACAGGTCAAACCTGAGCAGATGCCAGTGGGGTCTTCCCAATCGCTTAAAGCTCCTTGGTCACTGCTTGGGTCCTTTTCCCGAGTCTTTTCCAAGCTATGCCGTGAATTTCACCCTGGTTGTTGGAGCAAGCGACCCATTCCCGCTGCCCTGTTCTCCCAGGGTTTATGGATTCCCAGAGCCAGGTGGTTCTTTTATTAAGGGAAGAGTTTGAGTTTTGTAGGAGATAAACCTGGGTAGGTGGGATGAGGGGAGGGGGATGGGATGGCTAGAGGAAGAAAACGCACCAACAAGGTGTTTCTTTTCCACTCAGGAGAAATTCCAGGCTCATGTGCAGATCCTGAAGGACAGGAGAGAAAAGCTCCAGGGGCTGAAAATGGCCGAGGAAGGGAAAAGCTTGGATTTCCTTGTAAGTGTCTATCCCTGGGTGGTGGCTTTCTCACGCTTCCTTCCTTTTGGTCGTCCCTCTGGCCACGGCGATGGATGTGGAGACACGAGATGTGCCGTGGCCAAAGATCCCATGGGAATGTCCTCTCCGTTGGGGTAAGGCCTGGATGGTGATGGCAGCCGGTCCCGGGGGTAGATTAAAAAACAATCCCATTTTCCCCATGTGTCCTGTTCCTTCTCCGTCTCAGCGGGCTGGGAGCACTGGATTTTGCCGGGTTATTGTTGATGTTTTCACAAGTGGGGCACTTTCCCAGATTCCCCCTGTTAATAGACACAGAAAATGGGGCTCCTCCGACAGCTTCTTCCTTGCCTTGTTCCCCCTTTTCCTGAGCTGTTTCACTGCCTTATCTCTTTATGGTTTTATTTTCCATCTTCCCTTGTTCAAAGGTCTGGAGAGTTTCGGGTACAAAGATTACGGTTCAGGGGAAATACCCTTTGACAGCAACTTCAGCCTGGAAATGGGACAAAATATACCTTAATTATTCCCCTGCTCTGCAACAGGCACTGGAATTTACGACTGTGTTATAAATCGTCACGTTAAATCAGCTCTGTTGCAATTTTCCCTGACCGGTTCTACCCCCAGCCATGCCTCTCCCTTGGTTCTCCGCACAGGAACGGGTGGAAAGGGAGAGGCAGAAGGTTGTGTCTGAAGTCAAGGAGCTACACCAGTTGGTGGAGGGACAGGAACGTCTCCTCTTGGAGCGGCTGGCGAAGCTGGACCAGGAGATCACGAGGAGACAGGAGGAGAACATCAACAGGCTCCTGGAGGAGATCTCCTCCGTTGGCGAGCAGATCCGAGAACTGGAGGAGAAGTGCCAGCAGCCGGCGTGTGAATTCCTGCAGGTGAGACCTCAGGCCCTTCTGGAGACCGTTGGCCTTGAACGCCAACGGCGTCACCAGCCCAAGAGCCAAACTTCATAGAATCATAGAATCACGGAATGGTTTGGGTTGGGAGGGACCGTAAAGCCCACCCAGTGCCACCCCCTCCATGGGCAGGGACCCCCTCCACTAGACCAGGTCGCTCCAAGCCTCATCCAACCCGGCTTTGAAGACTCATTCCAAATATTCCTTTAAGAATGTCTCTTTCAAAGCTTTTTTTCTTTTTTAAATAATTATTTTCTTTAATGAGCACAAACGTGGCCCAGCTCTCCACCGGAATATTTTAAATCAACCCCCATCTATTTAAATCACCCTCCGTTTAGGTGGGTGTGGGGTTGATCCGTCTGGTTGTACACGTCTACATCCAAACCGATTGTCCAAGCTCCTTCCAACCGTAGAGAATCACCCGGCACAGATCTCGTCTTTAGGTGGTCATCCAAACCCCTCACCCCGCAGGGCTTAATTCCTGATTTAAATAACTCCTGATTGAAATAATTGGAATACGTGGGGGTGCGTGAGCATTAATAACGCCCACAATGGACGAGGAAGGACGGGAAAAGTGGTGGGGCGATGGCAGATGACCCCGACGAGCTGCTCGCCGACGCTGGCATGACCTCACCCAACCCCCCAGCAGCTCTGCCGACACCGCGCAGGCAGGTCACGCTGAAAGGACTCATTTTAGACCCATCATTTAGGCAGAACAGTGCCTTGAGTTGCCCAAAGTCACCCCACAGCCCTGCGGTAGCTGCTCGTTGTCTACAATCGGGATGACTTTGACCTGATGCTCCTTCTCTCGTCTTTCCTTTGTAGGACAGCAGAAACATCTTGAGCAGGTTTGCGGCTCCTTTCGCGTGTTCTTGCCGTGTCACTGTTGCTTGTCCCTGCGGTGGGGGCACTGACGGACTCCGAAAAACCCACCCCCTCACGGTCGCCGTGTGCTAGGGGGCTGTAGAGACACGTAGGAGTCAACCGGGACAACGCAAAAGGTCCAAGTAGGATGCTGAAAACCAGGGAAAGGTATCAGATGGGATGATGGTACCTCCAGCTCCTCTGTGATCCATTCACAACTATTCCTGGAGGTCTGAGCTTTCACCCCCTGCCCCCCCGATCCCATCAAAAATAGCAACCCAGCTAAAAAACGTGGATATTTGAACACTAAGGAATGCATCCAGGTGGGAGGGAATCCCAGGATGAACTTCCACCCCTGTGGGAAACCTCTTCATGTCCTCTTTGGACGTGGATTAAGAAGGTGCGGTTATTGGAAAGACAAAATTGGACAAGAAAATGCGGTATTGCCTGCATTTCCCTTGATGCAGAGCGCTGCTGGTCGTGATGGAAAGCCTTTGCCATCCAGGGAGTCTTTGGGAATAAAATGAGTGGGTGCTCCGGGTCAGCAAATCCCTCTCTGGGAGCTCGTTGACTGCCCTAGGGTCAAGCCTTCGCTCTAGTCCTACAACTCCGTATTTCTTTGTAAGAAATCCCAGTTGAAAATCGCTCATGGGAATAATATTAACCACGAGTGAAGGAATTGTTAGTCGGAAGTTCTTCCTTCTTTCCAGGCTTGAGAAGGACGGTGCCCAGAAGCCAGCGGAGACGTCGGCTGAGCCGGGAGAGGAACCCACCGGCTTTCCTCAGAAAAATATCGCCCTCAAGGAGACGCTGATGAAATTTCAAGGTACAGAGAGACCGGGGAGGGGAGGGTTTGGGGTCGTCCTCGGTCTGTCCTCCTACGGAAGGAGGTCCTAGCTGGGGAGGAGAGCTCCCGGTGAAACGGAGAGGGATTTCCAACCCCTTGGGGAGCTCCATACGTGTTGGGGTGAGGCGGGGACCTCAGGTAGGGTCACCTTTGGAAATCACTGCTCGGAAGGAGAGCAAAGGTGAAAATCGCAAATATTTCCACATGGGAGCTTAGAAAAAGGAAAGTTGTGGGACACGAGTGGCTTTTTTCCCTCTTTCCAATGGTCTGGAAGCTCCCAGAAAAAATTATCCGCATGCCACGGCCTTACTTGTACCCTAGATCAAGGTCCCTTCACGCGGCCGCCTTTTCTACTCTTCCGACCTCGCTGGTGGGGAGTAAAACCGTTGGAGCTCCACTGGAAGCTGGAGCATCCCAAGTTGGGCGAAGGTGGGGAAAATGGGATCCTGACGTCCTCGAGATGTGCCCGTGATCCTCACCATCTCTCTGTCCCCAGCGAGTCTGACGCTGGATCCAGACACGGCACATCCCCGGCTGGTCCTCTCCGCGGATCGCAAGCGGGTGAGATGGGAAGACACCCGCCAACCCGTACCCGACCACCCCAAACGTTTCGACGCCTCCCGCTGCGTCCTGGGCCGCGAGGGGTTCGGCGGGGGGAGGCATTACTGGGAGGTGGAGGTGGGCGACGGGGAAGCCTGGGCCGTTGGGGTGGCCAAGGAGTCGGTGGGGAGGAAGGGACGCATCAGCGTCAACCTCAAGGTGGGGATTTGGGCGGTGGGTGGGGCAGTGTGGGAGCCGGTACCAGGCTCTCACCTCTCCCACCATCCCCATCACCCTGCCCGTTGCCCCCAAAGTGATTGGGATCTACCTGGACTACGAGGAGGGGCGAGTGGCCTTTTTCGACTCCAACAACGAGACGCCCATCTTCACCTACCCCCCGACCTCCTTTGCCGGGGAGAAAATCCTCCCCCTGCTCTGCCTGGGGAGGGGGTGCCGGTTCACGCTCTCCCCTTGACTCCCCCAACCCCCCCCGCCCCCCCATGGGGCAGCATCTGCTCAAGTCTCTGTCGCTGGGGTCTGGGGAGATGGCGAGGGGGGTCGTCACCCCAGAGACGGCTTTTGGGAGCATGAAGAAGGCATTTCCCAGGATGGAAAATCCTCTTTTTCCCATCTTTTATGTCAACAAGAAGCATTGGTCAGTTCAGAGTTTGTAAGGGAGGGGGCTGCCCCCCCCAAAACCAGCATCGCTCTGTCGGCGATGGTGCCCCCATGCCCATAACCCCCTTCCAAAACCCATTCTGTCGGAGGACAGGGATAATCCATGCCCATAACCCCCTTCCAAAACCCTCTCCGTTGGAGGACAAGGATGATCCATGCCCATAACCCCCTTCCAAAACCCTCTCTGCCGGAGGACAGGGGTAGAACGCAGCCCAGTGCGCTGAGCCGTCTCCCAGTTTCTCTCCCACCACTCTCTCCGACTGATTGTGCGTCCCTGCTCTTCTTTGGACCCTTATTTTGGCTCTCCGAGCTCTCATCTCTGAGCGTAGATGCTGTTGGATGACGATGATGCTGTTGGATGACGATGCCGTTGGATGATGATGATGCCATTGGATGATGATGCCTTCAAGTTTTATTTCTCTGACAAGGCGAAAATAATCTAATCCAAGGGCAAGATGGCCCAATCGGGTGGAATCACCAAAAATACCCACTTTCCTGGTGCGAGCTTGTGTTGGATCGTTGCTTCGTGCTGGGTGACGTCCACAGTTTTGGACATGGTAAGGACTCACCTTTCCGTGTCCGACCATTTGGATTACGGAGCCTCCGCGGTCGGTGGAGAACAGCGACAAATTTTAATTTATCTAGAAATGGCTTGATAAGTGCGTGTAGGAGTATTTACTTCTCTGACTACAGCGGGAGCCCAGATTGCTTAGGCACGGGGACGTCTCCCGTAGGTCCCTAAAACCAAGAACAACAAATCCTTCGCGAGGTGGAGTCGGTTTTAACTCCTTGAGCAACCGTCTCGGGCTGAGCTGGTGCCTAAGGCATATTTGGGAGCCAGGAGGGATGTGGGGGGTGCCCACAGGAGAATTTCCCAGGGGGTGGGGTCAGTGTTTTGAGATATCCAAGCCGTACGGATGCGCCTTTGACCGCTTGAGAGGCTCTGCGTAGCCTCCGCTGCCGAATACAGACTATGGAAAAGCGAAAATTGCCTCGTTTGCAGCTTGGTTTTGTCCTGGTGCTCCGAAAGCAGCGGATGGGAACCTCTGCGGAATCCCCAGCTGGGCAGAGCTTGTGTTATCTGTAACCGTTCCTGCGTCACGCGATAGCGCTCCTGCTTAAAATCCCAGGATTTTCGGTCTTTAAGTCATAGCTGGGAGCCAAAACACTCGGCCCTGGGTAGCAGCAGACGACTGAAGATGCTCTCGCACCCGGGATATGCAAAACCCTCTTGGGAAGCCGCCGCACGCCCCACCGTTGGGTTTTTTCCCTGCGGAGAACAATCCCGCTCGGTCGCTTTGGCTACGGAGCCAGCGGCAGCGGCACAACCCTCATGCAACGGCGAGAGGCTGCGCCCCGGGGAGGGCACGTCGGGGTGGGGTGAGCAGCTCCAAACTGGTTCCCAGGTACAAGCAGCGTGGAAGGGGTGACCTTTGCTTCCTTTTCCCTGGAAGAAACACCTTGGATGTGGGTAAATCCGGTCACCGGGTGGCGGGGAAGTGGTGCTGTTCCCGTAAGGAAAACTGTGGGAAAACCTTTCCGCGGGAGCTGCACCCCGAGGGGATGATGTGCGGCGAGGAGAGGGGAAAAAGACCCAAAATACATGAAAAACAGGCCAAGAAAATGCAATTATTTGGTCCTATTTGCCATCCAGAGACGTGCGATGAGTTGTGTACAGC